TGGGTATATTTTTAGGAAGGGTTTAGAGGGATATAGGCCAAATGCTGGCAAATGGGCCAAGGTCAGATTGGGATGTCTGGTCGGCAGACCGAGTTGGACCAAAGGGTCTGTTTCCATGCTTTATGACTCTGTGTACACAGTAGGAAAGGAAGTTTTGTGTATGAATATGATATTCGAGCTAAATCTGAGCTTGTATATGTTATGAATGTATTTTGATTTAAATCAGGCATGAATGGTTGAGATTCAACTGGGAATAACATATGCAGCCAGGAGAGAGTACCTAAATTCCTCTCAAATTCAGATACTTATAAGAGAACCTTCCCTGAGCCTCTCTGTTTCTGCTTTATACATGATGAATTTTTCCAAATGAAGCTGACTTGTTCCTGGCAATTTGCCACTGCAGAGACAAACAAAATTGATAGTCATAAAGGTGTAAATCCATTCCATTATGGAATTCTTTTTCCAGATTCTTTTCCCTTGCCATCACTAATACCCTGCCCAGAGGCTTTGTGCCTCTGAAAGTCTTCCTCTACTCTGCGTTTTCTTTCTTTCGCACCCCTCTCAATCCCAGCCCCCACCGCACTCTATTCCTCCCACTCCACCCTCACTCCTTGCTTCCCTCAACCTCTCACCCTTGACTTCTCCACCCTGCGCTGGTTGCCTCATGTGAATGTCTCTGTTTAGTGTCGATCTTTTCTGCTATTTAAACATACCAGTTTTATTTTTGGTGAGGAGCACTGTTAATGTAATTTCTGTGTTCCCCTTGTAATAAAATATTGTCACTTCCTTAATGATGTCAAATGAAACTCTCTGCTAATTATTGAAATTTTTTTTTTTGCAGAACCAATCTCCTTAGGATGATTTTCTCAGCCTCAGTACTTCATGTACAGTACTGTACTCTTGTGGATCAATTCTGCCTGTGTGCAAGTAATAGAAATTCTTATTGCTGTGTGTATTTAATTTGACTTCTCAAGGTTGTACATTAAAATTGTCATTAATAAAAAGAGCTAACGACTCCTATTTATTGTGCGCGGCTTGATCCATTTGTGTATGGAAAGAGAGGGCTTAGAACTAAGGACTAACAGATGGACTCGTGGAAAGTCACGTAAAATATGGTCACTGCTGGCATGAGCAAGTGAGGTGGAATTCTGGAAATAGTCGATTGAATTATCATACACTCGTTTAAACCTGATGGGTTTTTATTGGAAGATTCGCATTTGTCTTGTGACACTGTTTTGGCTGTAGGAATTTTTTTCTAACGAAATCTTTCCTTTTATTTGTAACACGGGCTGAGTGAAGGGGCACATGCCCACAGCTGGAGTCATTAAAAGAAAGGCTAGCTCCTGGTTTCTTGTGAAGCGGGAGCAGTACAAGACCAGCTCTACTTTCCACAAAAGCCTTCCCCCGCCCCCAGAGGGCATTTTAAATCACTCCTGTGTTTATAGTCAATCTATAAGCTGTGCTCCTGGTTAGGAATGTTCCCTCTGTACAGTCTCTGGAATCTAGAATCACTATGTAGCTGACAATAAATTATGGTGTGATAATATATTGATGTTAAATGCAGTCCAGGCTAGTAGTAAATCAGCTCAATTAATGCTTTTCACTAGAGAGCGAAATTGCAAAGGTTTACTGCAGATTTACTACAGGGAAATTATATAGTCACCTCCATAATAAGTCAGATGTTGACTGTATTTTTTCAAATAATTCTTGCTGAGTGTCCTGTCCTCATGCATGTGGATTCCACAGTCAATAAATTACCTATATATTAATAGGCATGATTTGCTGGTTAACACTACTAAAATAAACCCTGGATGACATAGGCTTAAATTACATTGTCCAAAGATTGCTTTATCCTGCGATTGATCTTGTAGTTGACATTGTGTAGCTGCGAAAGGGGATGTTCTGCACTTAAAGGAGAGACTGGTGGAAGGGGAGGAAAGTGAAGCAGGAAGGGGTAAAAGTATTTTCGGGGTACGTTCTCCCCATCTGAGTATATTTTACATCATACCTAATACATAGCTATCTGTTATCAATGTTTCAGATTTTTCTGTTTTCTAGAATCTGCGTTGTTTTGAGATGTCTTACAGGAGAGTCTTTGGAGCAATCGTAGTGAGTTAACTGGAAACATGGACCAACTCGAGGGTCCATCTGGAAGTGCCACATCACAGAAAATCCTCTGCTGGTTAGGTTTAGCATATTGGTAATTATCACAGAGCTCAAAATCAATATACCTTTGATAAACTAAACAAAATGTCAAGAGTGATAATCAGATCTACTGAAAGCTCCCAGATTCTAATCATTTGCATTGACTCAGCCGTTCTCAGTACTGTAGGTATGACAGTTGGGTGAAGAAGAGAAAAATAATTGAGCTTTTTGAGTTAATCTGTTGGCAAAGAGCACATTACCAGGGGATTGATCTGGGATCACAATTGCCATAATGACTTTTAAAGTGAAATACCAGATGGCTATTGTCACCTATGAAAATGTACCCATGGAAATTCAAGACGGGAGAAAAATTAGCGACAAAATCAATGGTTACTTAGAATTATGACTGAATTCATTCTTTTGGTTCTGTCTTAATTTATATGTTAATCCATCTACTGGTACAATTCCTAATCAAGTCAACCCATCCCTCACAATTTAAAGAAAGCTATAACACATTTTGAATGTGAATTTAAAGAGTTAAACATAGACATTTATGCAACTCTTCAAAGATTCAGAAGTATTTAAGAGAAATAAATGGCTATTACCCCTTAAGCTCTCATTGATGTCGGACAATGGCTCAGATCCTAGATTAGCACTGTATGTGGGCTCTTGTAACACAGTGGTAACGTCCTTTTGAGCCATGAGACCCAGGTTCGGGTCCCACCTGCATCTTCTGATTAATCCCATGATAATTGAATTTTCAGATTTTATAAACTGATCGGAAATACGATGTTCTCATACTGATTCCTGACACAGTCCTAGCATCTCATTCAAAAGTAATACTCCAGATTCTTGATTTTTAATGATCAATTGGAAGTATGTGATTTTTTTAAAACCACTAACAGAAGTACTTCAGTAATTGGTATTTTATTTTCAGCACGTGAAAATTGGGAACTCAGCACATTCCATATTCAGCAACGAATAAATGTTTGGAGATTTCTGTATGAATGGCAAACCCAACATTTGTGTCATCATCAATAAAGAAAGAAATCAATATTATTACCTAGTCACAATGACTTGAAGGCATATGGTACCATCTGTACTGGTGTAAAGCTATAAGTATGTATTTAACTGTGCCTTTCGGAATCTCCCAGCTCCTGAACTAGTACTGGTGTTTGTTTTCAGAACAGCTTCGCCACTAACCTACCTCCTTATCCATGTCTTGTCAAGCGTAAGGCAGTTATAGGGACCTGACAACATCCTCTACATGAGAGGATGACGAATTCTACTAGATGTTGGCCAGTAATTTTGATGTAGCAAAATATATGCAGAAGAGAACTGAAAATATTCACTTTGCAATACCAAAAGTCTTGATATATGATTCAATGTAGCATCTGGGAATTATTGACATTTTAATTCCAACTTCTGAATAAACTAGCACTGACAAATCTGAAATATTTTCAGAACATACCCCTGCTTTTTGGCATAATTTTAATAAAAATAATGGGTCTCTCATTTACGATCAAAATAAGGAGTAATTTCTTCAGTGTTGGCATTTGGAATTATTTTTCACAAAGATTAGTGGAGGCTGGGTCATTGAGTATATTCAGGGATTAGGTGGAGAGATTTCTTGATGGAGTTACATGAGAGAGAGCCAGTAAAAAACAGAGTTGATAATCAGATCAGCTTTGATCTTTGAAGGGCCAAATGGCCTATGCCTGCTCCTGTTTCTTATGTTCTTAACTTCTCTTCTGAGGGCTTTCTTAGAGCTCCATGAACATTGGTCCAGTAACTTGTCTTTTGTTTTAAATTGGGAACCTATTATTGTGAATGGTATTGGATTACAGTTTAGCCAGAATCTGCCCTCATCCAATGTTTAAATATACTTTTTGACTGTGCTATCTGTTTTCAACTGGTGTATAATCTGTTATATAAAATATTTCATGGATTAGACTTAACATTCATATGTGGTACTTTACCAAGTTTCTCAAATGTCAGTGTTTCAGGTGCAGTATTCAGTTGTTACGTGGTCAAAAAAAACTTTACTGTCTGTGGGTCCTTGCTGCATTGTCACTGCTCAAAACCCTCAAGGATTGTCCCTGGCCATCTCTTTATCTATGTTTTGTCCTTCAGTAGATTCATTTGCAAGCATGGGTTTAGTTTTCATGGGCATATTGATGATATTCATCTCCATTTCTTACTCGCATCTCTTGATCCTTTACTTATCACTATGGTGTTACATTTCCTGCCTGGCACTAACTGAATAACTTACTCGAGCTCAATGTTAAAAGCTTCTTCAGTGTCTGCCATCAAAGCCATTCCCTTCCCTAGCCATTCTCTCAGGCTGAACGAGACCATTCTTAATGTGTCCCATTCAACCCAGGCTTGAATTTCAGATTTAGCATTTATTTATCACCAAGATTGCTTATATTCACCTTCAGTACCCATCTCAGCCATTCCATTGCTGATACCCCTTGTCAACTCAAGACTTAACTACTCCAATGTTCCCTTCAGAGGATATCATCTATAATTTATCCAGATATTCTGTCCCACCTGCAATCTTTTGTATGTACGCTGCACTAGGTATTCCTTATCTATTACACTTAAACTTCTTGTCCAAACTAATGCATCTTTCTCAAGTGTTCTTCTGTATCTTTGCAATCTCCTCCAGTTCCCTAATCCGCCTTGAATTTCTTTTCTCTAATCCCAAATTTCTCTATATCTCCTCTTCCTTGCCCTAAGCCTTTTGTAGCAAAGCATTCAGTGATTTTTATCATCGTCACAATCTTTTCAGCTGGGACACATTTCCATCTGTCAAAATATCAAGCTATTTATTTGACTAAACTATTGGTCACCTCTTCTGAGCTCTCACTTCCAGGCCAGCTTGTTTTGCATATGGTCTGTTTATGAACACACCACAGGGCATTTTCTTATGTTAAAGATATGAGGTGAAGGTAGGTTGTTTTGTTAAATGATCATTTAATCTGTATTGACTGAGGAATGATGGCATATTAGAGAACATCTTCTCTTCAAAATAGTATCATAGCGTTTTTAACATCCATCAGGTAGTCTGTACATCATAAGGACAACTTACCTGAGTATGAAGAATCTTTAACTCCTGGTTTTCCTGTTCTTTGTCGGGGGCGTGTAGAGGAGGCTGTACTCTACTGAACTGCTTTATCTGTTCCTTGATGGGGGAAGCCTTTGCTCTGCATCTGACTCCTGCCTTACCTGTGGTGGGGATTTTGGTGGATGACTGAACATAAACTGTTTTTATTATCAGTAACAAACCTCCTCTGGTTAAACACAAAGCTTTATTTAAAAAGGAGAAATTTCCCAATCTTAGTGTGGTTATAGTTTTTGGTAGGAGAATATATAACAAACCATCGTGCTTGTTAAATAGCGATTCTTCCTTCAAGATCAAGTTCAGAATTGTTAAAGCTGTTAACTGTGGAGCTGGCATGTAGACAGAGGCTACATGAGAGCGGCGGCGAAGATTAGACCGGGAGCTGATATCAAAGCGACCGGCTCGAGTATACATTCCAACGGCAAAGCTCAGGAGTGCTCCCGGACCTTGCATTTCCTCCAGGGCGCGTTTCCCTTCCTTGCAGCTCTAGCTCTCTTAATAATCCGTCTCTTCTTTGACAAATCCATTCAGATTGTGCTCAGTGTCTTAGCACTCCCCTCCCTCCCTCCCTCCCTATCACGTCAGGCATTGGTAAGAAAAAAAACCAAGGACTCTTCCAGCCTTGTTACAGCGGTCACGGAGTAACTCAGAGCACCACCCACTATAAGTGGGTTTGAAGGATCAAGGCCAGATGGGGTGTAGCAGAATGTAACAATGTTTTCCAGTGACACGGCGCTGTCAGACTGAGTATGTTGACAGTCATTCTGGAATAGACAATGTGCTAACCTCCACGGGATCGGTCAGGGGTTTGGTTCAGGTCATCCGCAAACAAGATTCCAAGGTAAAAGTGTCTCACATTCGCAGTTTGGCCGCTGGCTTCTTGTTTTTCTCGGCCTCTCTGTTCCCCACCCCCACTCCCACTCCGACCCCCACCGTGAGAGGGCAGCTGGGGTATCAGGGATCGACAAACCGAGCGTCTCTGCATCTTTCGAGCTAGCGTGACTCCCCCCGCCCCATTCCGAGCGCTTTCCCAGCCCCGGTGCCGGTGCTCAGGCCGCTCCCTGCACATTGTTCCGGTGAGGATTCACCCTCTAGTGGCCATTTCTGGTCCCCCACCTCCCCCCAAAAACCCTCGAAGCGAATTGTCGATCTGCGTACATGAGCTCCAAGAACTCTTAATCCTTTTTCTGCTCACATGTCACAGACTTGGCGCTCACATCTATAGGGCAGTTCCAAAGCAGCCACAGCACACTCTAAAAGACAGGCGAAAAAACAAGGAAGCAGATATTTATTCTGACTGGGTACGGGACGCTGAACGGAGCCATTTCTCACTGCAGAAGTCGATGGGCTGCAAAAAACAAGTGTGCCAGAAGGTAATGGAATATGTAAAGAGGAAAAAAAAACTAACGATCGATTCTACAGGGAGAAATGACTTAGAAATGTTTGCGGGCTCCACCAGGATCCAGCTAGCGAAGGTACCCGGAGGGCAGATTTCCCCCTAAATCTGAGGATTTCAGCCTCGATTCTAATTCGTGTCCCGGGGTTTTAGTTTAGGGTGAACAGCCCGGCGGATTTTAGAGCGAGCTGCCCAGGCAGGGAAGCTGAAAATGGCTCTTCCTTCCTCACTCCCGATTATTCCAGACCCGGCTGGCTCCGGGACTAATCCCGGTTCTCGGTGAGACAGCATCTCCCGCGTGGTGCAGCTCCAGGCACACACTAACCGAGTGCTCAGAGAGCACCTAACAGCAAAGCCAGTACCTTCAACAACGGACAAAAATCGTAGTTGAATTCCCGTTAAATATGTTTTAACTCGACAGCTATTTTGTACTCAAGAGTATTAACTTCGGGAAATAGAATAAATTAATTAACTTTACATTTTGACTTTAACATAAGTATCCTCTTGCTGCGTTTTGCAGCTTCGTGTCAACCAGTTTAATTTACAGCAAAGCTGTTACATTTAATGTTACACATTTACGGTAACATATTTAATCTGCAGTGTTACAGTCATTCTTTGCCATTTGTCTTCATGTTTAGATTAGGTAACAGAAGTATGGTTATTCATTCTGACTGGTCGAACGCTCCTCATTATTTAGTGAACAGGAGAAGTACATCCCATTACACTGAAGTGATGGGGCAATTGATCTTCTAACATTTGGCTTCAAATTTACAAAATGAAACCTACATCATCTCAATCCAATCCCAGTGAACATGGGCCTACAACACAAACTGAAGTAAATTTATCATTAACAGGCTCCCTGCACAGTTGGCGAGTGTAGGAAGCAGACATCGCCACGCCAGTGACCATTTTATTTGATGGTGGGACTAAGCACAAATTGATGGGACAATTTGCAGGGCTCTTTACTCTGCATCTAGCATTCTATTGCTTACCTGTGGAAGGTGGGGCAGCTTTCGTCTGGAATGCCGAATGGTGCAAGATAGTTTATAGTCTCCGCTACTGGCACGTTTCACTTCGACAAACACGATAGTTCACAATTTTTCTTATAAAAAATTAAAATGGGAACTTGTTACATTTTAATTCGTTCGTGAGATGTGGACACCTACTGGCTGAGCCAGCATTTATTGCCTATCCCCCAGCTGCCCTGGAGAAGGCGTTGGTAAGATCCTTTCTGAAAGTACTGTAGTCCTTACGGTGTAAATACACCCACAATAGTGTTAGGGCGGGAGTTCCAGGATTTTAACCCAGCTACGCTGAAGGAACAGCGATATATTTCCAAGTCATGATAGTGAGTAGCTTGAAGGGGAACCTGAGCTGGTGACGTTCCCACGTATCCAGCAGCCATTGTCCTTCAGGATGGTAGTGGTGTTTGGATAGAGTCGGGTTAGTTAATGCAGGGCATCAAGTATAAGGTATATACTGTTGCCCCCGTGTATCGTTATCGTGTATCGTTATTATTGTTTTGTCCTTTCTCACCCACCAATCCCCAATCCCCACCTATCTCACCCCCCCCAACCCTCACCCATCCCACCCCCCGCAATCTCAGCTTCAATTCCCATCCATCTCACCCCCCGAATCCCCACCTGAAATGGCGAGTTCCTCCTTGTTACCTCGCATTGCGTTCCATGGTTTCCGTAAGAGCCACAGGCGGCTTGTGCTGGTGGGTTTTTTTGTGAATGGTTGCTTCAGATGCTGCCAGCCCAGCCTGACACAGGGCTCTGCCATTCCCACGCTCGAAGCAGCAACTGAGCCGCGCTTGAACTCAACGGGACAAACGGAAACCGCTGGAAAGCTGTTAAATCTTTGCTTGAAGAGATAGTAGGAACTGCAGATGCTGGAGAATCTGAGATAACAAGGTGTAGAGCTGGATGAACGCAGCAGGCCAAGCAGCATCAGAGGAGCAGGAAAGCTGACGTTTCGGGCCTAGACCCTTCTTCAGAAACCCTGCGTTCATCCAGCTCTACACCTTGTCATCTCAAATCTTTGCTCGAACCGAGAGCCCCAGGCGTCCAACCGAC